AAAATGCAATTGGGGCAAATGTAGTGTGAACCATGCACATCTGTCGAACTGATCCATCGATTAGGATCACAAACCGATTCATTTGTAAGTGGGAATGAGGCCAGGGATTCCTCTCCCTGTTATTGTCCCAGAAGTGAGGATTGTAGAAGGGAGAGATGCTGATGTGGGAGACCTTGTAGGCTGGATTCAGTACTTCCATGAATGTCATTTGTCCTAGGACTCCTAAGTCATCCCTATTTGTAATTATAGTTGGATGATGCATCAGTGTGTACTAACCCTCCTTGTCCATTAATTATATTTTGGCTTATGCTGGTACGCCTGAACTGAACAAATGTACAAATAAAAGTGATAATTATCAAAAGAATCTTAAAAAACACACCAAACCAAATTATATCACTGCCACATCAATGAATATTAAGATATGTCTTCTGTTAATTGGGGGACTTCTGGAATGTGTTAGCTGTCTGTTAATTAGTTAAACAAACACTATAGCATTCTAACTGTACATTTGTCAGCCTTCTAGCTTTTTCTTCTCATTAATAAAGTCATTTCTACCAGAATCAGAGTGATCTTGCATGATTTGGACCATTTATATATTTTAGGATTATTAAATAATCACAGCAAGATGAAGGAAGAAGCAAAAACTCAGTTTTTCAATAGGAATATAAGGAATATTTTCAATTTTTCTCATCCACACCAAGAAAAGGTGTCTCAACACATTGTGTATGACATGCTGGGCCTTTTCACACCACACAATTATAGCACTTCATCTACCATCAGAGCATCTCATGAAATCCCGGGGTTTGTAGTTTTGTGGAGCTTTAGAGTCCTCTGACTGAGAATTCTAAATACCCTTCTCTAAACTACAAATTAAGAGCCAGCATAGTGCAATGGTTTGAACGTTGGACTATAAGTCCAATTTGGTTTATTATGGTTCAATTCCTCATTTGGCCATGGAAACCCACTGGGTGACCTTGGGTGAGTCATACATTCTCAGCTCCAGAAAACCCTGTGATAGGTTTGCCTTAGAGTTGCCATAAGTCAGAAATGAGGTGAGAGTACACAACAACAATAACGACAAACTCCAAATCCCAGGATTCCATCAGATGTTGATATGGTAGGTAAGGTGGAATGTAGCACTATAATCACGTAGTGTGAAATAGCCTTCTTGTAAAAAAAAAAAAAAATCAACTGCCACAAGATATCTTACCTCAAACAAGAACAAAAAGACCAGCTTTTTTTTAAAGACTTCAGCAGAAATACCATTTTGGATATTTTGCACAGGATGTTTGGGCTTCTGTCAAATGTCCTACCAATAATAATAGGTCAGGTTTTCTTATTGCCTCTTCCAGTTTGCAAATGAGGAAGTGGATTTATTCCACTCTTGTTTAAAAATATTCATTTAGGTGTGGGTTTGCTAGTTATTATGGAGCTGTCCTTGATAAGCATCCATTGTTTCTTTAGAATGCTATCCACTAAGTTCAGATGGGGTACTCTTGTTTTCATTTCAACTGTTTGAGCTAGAGCAGCTTTGCTTGGGTGAAGAAAGAGTATATAGACATCAGAACTAATGTATCTATAAAAATTCACTCATTTCATTTACTTTACTTAATTTTGGTAGTAATATTGATATCCTTTCTTTGCTCCAATAAACTCAAGGTGCCATGTGTAGCAGTGGCATTTGCAGGCTTCCAGGCCATAGATGTGGTGTATCTTCTTTGATTTTTAGCCTGAACTATCCAAGGTTAGGAATCCTATCCAAAATAGTTTCATCACCTTGGATAGCTCCTCTAAAGTTCAGATAAAGCAGATAGATTACCCCAGTGAAAAGAAGCCACCAGCCACCTCTGGTACATGACCTTTCTCCTCCTCATTCTGTTGTTGTTATGTGCCTTTTGTCAGAATAAAATGCACTGTGAAGAGAAAATGCCATAGATGTGACTGGGGCAAAGAAACTGGGACAAATGTGAGAGGGTTACTTTAGTACAGTTGGGGGCTATGATGACTCAACATTTGTACAGTCCTGAGTCACAGGGGGCTGATGCAACACTAGGGAGAGGGTTGAGTCAGAAAACTTCAATTCTGCAGAGTCACATCAGTCAGGTGACTTGAAACTGGGTGACATCCCAGGAGTGGTATGTACAGAAGGGGATACTGTATAAAAGTGGGTGAGTTGAATACTCATGTGTGGGTGGTTGTATATAGAGATACTGGTGGACTGTTAGTCTGTAAGGGAAGAATAAAAAATCTCTACATGAGACGAGAGTCCGGCAGTGTTGTGTCTTGTAGACAACTGCCAGTGTGGGAGTTTTTTTCCTTGCTGCATTTGCAGCCTCCATAGAACTTCACAGAGAAGACTGATTTTTGGTGTCTTCTTAGCATATGTGATTTTTCATAAAATTTTTGACACATGTGGAGTTCCCTCTATGACCCCAGACTGACTTCTGAGGGATGTCGGCCATAATTCCCCAGATGGCAGGTCATGTAGGCACTGAGAGATCTGCCCAGGACAGCTGGAAAATTCCCTACCAGACAGGTTTGGGAGTTGCCAAAGGGAAAAACCATTCTGTTTGTCTTGAGTCTCACACTTAATGGAGCAGTGATCAAATTTGACTGCACCCTTTTCTCTAGCCTCCCTTCCTTGATAGTTTCGAAACCAAATGCATTGTTTAGACTATTCTCGCACCTGGGTTTAACAAAGCTAAGACTATCAACGCCTTTGTCCCAGCTTCAGCCGAGCCATTAGTCAAAATAGCCAGAAGGTAGAAATTTCCTATTTAAACTTTGAGATTTGTAGGCTCCACATGCTATTTTTGGAGTGCGTGCTGACTCCACGTTGGTCTGTACCCTGATCATAGCTCCCTCGGCCATCCTTTCCCCCCATTTTGGCAGCAGTGCATCATCATCATCATCATCATCATCATCCACAGCAGATCTTGGACAAGCTTTCAGAAGTAACTCCCTCAGTCTTGCCCATCTCAAGCTATTCCTGCTTTCACTCCTTTATTTCTAAGAGTGCAGTGTGTGTGTATGCTATATTTGTGTGTGTGCAGTTTTCCCCTTTACTTAATAAATATTTAGAAGTCTGTCTCAGCATCATCCATTGTGGGATTCCTTAGTCCTCTGGTATACATAAGGGTACCCGGTCCTGTGGGGCTTTGTTAGGACCCCACTCTTGCATATTTGAGCTAATTATAAATTCCCCTAATTAGATCATTCCTAACAGTCTGTTCCAGCGTAAGTTTCCTGCACATGTTGAATTCAGTTCAAATGCTCCCCAACACCTTTAACACCTGATCATAGAGGTTTCTTGGAAATATTTTTTTTCAGAGGAGATAAATCTTGAGCCTTCCTCTTAACACTGAGAGGATCTCATGTTCTGAAGATCCCTCAGTGGGTTTCTGCAACTGGGTTTGCATTCAGATCCTAGTGTCCATTCATGCTACACACTACTACTATTATTCCACTTGAATCACTATGGTTCCATCCTATGAAATCCTGAGGATTGTAGTTTGGTGAGACACTGTAGTGGTGTGGCTGAGAATTCCAAACATCCCCCAAACTACAGATCCCAGGATTCCACAGGACAGAAGCACAGCAGTTAAAGTGGAAAAATAGCACTATAATTTTGTGGTGTGAATGGACATGCCAAATGAGCTCTATTCCACTGACTATCTCCTCTCAGTTATCCTTCAGAATAAGTCAAGCTGAAATATAATAACTGGCTGATGGTAAGCCAGCCTTGAACATCAATCTCCCAAATCTTAGGGTCAGTACAGACCAGCCAAAAGGGCAGGCCTGGGGGCAGAGTGGGGGCATGGCAACTGCATGCTGGATGCCCCAACTCTCCCCACAGGCCAGTGTCATGCCACTGAAGCAACCTCATGTCGGGCAGGAGAAGGGCATGTCTTTGGCCAGCGTTTACATGCACTGCAGTGTAGAAGCAGACAAAAGCTTTTTGCAGCTTCTTTTTGTGCTGTGAAAAAGCCAGATTGGGACATGGCGTATGGTTGCCTCAGCCCCGATCTAATAAGGAAAGGGTCAGCATCCTGCCACCCCTTAGGGGCCATCTGTACAGCCCCTTAGTCCAGCACTCTAACCATTACATAATAATTAAAGAAAGTATCCAGCTTTTCAGGACAAGGCACATGTATGATATAAAAGGGAAGCATTCAAAGATATAGCTGTGTTAGTCTGTAGAATCAGTATGTAGAGAGATCTTGTAGATCTTTCTTTCAGTTAGTCTCAAAGGTGCTATAAGATCTCTCTAGAGTAGAAGCAGCACAGCTATATTTTTGTTTTCTCAGAAGCTTATTATGCAAGTACTATATCATTTGAACAAGCAAATTGCAGGAACAGGTCTTGAGCTTTAAACTATGAAGACCTTAAGTAATATCTTTTATCTGTTTTGCTATACCATGCATCTTAAAATGTTACACACTTTCCCCTTTTCTTTTCAAAATAATTTAATCTACTTTATTGATGGTAGCATTAAAAAAGCCCCTGCTTTAAGAGCCTAAACAACACAATTGTAGATTTCAGGCAAAAGTGAAAGTGAATTATAGAAACAATAATTCAAATGTCTGCAATAATTGTTTGGAAAAGTGCAATTAGAATGCCATTTACTCATCCACTCTATCACTCCAGTTTTGCATTAATTCCCCACAAACAGGGTTTATTAGGTGATTAGTGAGATGTTACTGTGAAGAACAATGTAAGTCATAGCTTTCTCTGACTAGATAGATTTGCTGGAAACCTTGTGTCTGAACTTTTTGTGGCTAGAAAAAAGGAACTAAGGGGGGGGGGCAGATGGGTGGCCCTGGGCTGCCCTGGAAAATGGAGGATCGAGGCCGAAGATGCCAGATGCATTGGCCCCGATCCTCCCTTTTGCCACCTGGGAAAGGAGCGCCAAAACACCACCACTCCTTTCACAGGCAGCGAAAAGGGCGCCTAAAGAGCCACCATGTGGCTTTTTGCACCTCTTCTGGCACAGCATATAAAAACGCTGGGCTGGGAAGATGTCCTGACAGCGTGCGACATGCATAGCAGCACACACTGTGATGACATCCTCGGGAAGGGGTTGGGCTGCCCGGTGTGTGGCTGCCCCTCCCCTTCCCTGCCTCCAAGATGGCGCCTTGCACCATCTGCAGAGGTCCTAAGTTTGATTTTTTTAAAAATATATCTATGCAAATATTGGGATTTTTAGTCTTTCATATTAAGAAAAGGTGGCCTGTTCCCTTCAAAAGCAACGATGAAGGGGATAAAAACCTAGTTTTTATTCAGAGTATGTATTCATTTTGTAGGGTTAAGTAGAAGGTATGAGTTCCTCTATTGTGGATATGGAGAGAGTGAGAGAGTGTGTGCAATGGTCAAACCCATGTATATACATGCAAGCAGTAGAAAAGGAAAAGGGGGGGGAATGTTATGACTATTTGGTAGACCTATTGCAATCAATAGGATCTCAGTTCACCACAACTACCTTTTGTTCTGTTGCATTGTTGATCCACTTTGAATAAATCTAGACCCAACTCCTAGCATTGTATCTTACCTGTGGGGACTGTAGATTTAAGCATGCATCCTAGCATTTGAAAGCTTGTGTGAACACTATATGAATAAGATATGCAAGCACATTATTCCCATCTATGAAAAATATTCTTCTAGGCAGGGGATTTTTATCACACCAATTAAAATTAGGGGAGAAGATTTCAAGGTTAAATGAATATTCCCCACAATTCCCTTTCTCATTTTTGCATAACTGCTTGGCAACTGGTATACAACTTGTCTTGAATTCTATTTTACTCTCTCTCTCTCTCTCTCTCTCTCTGTGTGTGTGTGTGTGTGTTGGGAGGGGGGCAGTGTAGCTACCAAATGCCTTTGGCTGATTTTTTAAAAAGCTGCAGAACATGCATACCTCCCTGTTGCTTCCCTGGGTTCTGAAGAGGGATGGTGGGTG